AATAAATAAATATATATATATATATATATATATATATATATAATCTTCAAATTTTTAAATCACGTTAAAAATATTACTCATATCAACTATTTAATATTAAATATTTTTTCATGCATATATTTTGATGTGATTGTGACGCTAAAGCATTATATAATTAAATAATTAGATATAGGATAATCTCCTTATGAGAACGAATATTCATCAGACTTTTGAAAGCATCCTGGAGCAAGGATTTCCGGGTATTTGTAGCTACTTTTACATGCTTGCGTCATGTGCATTTATTTATCATATTTGGAGAGCTAGAAATGATAGAACTTTTGGAAGATTTTTTTATTGTCAAGTAATTGTGATTATTAAAATTAAAAAAGCTATCATGCGCAAGACCTCTAATTGTAAACAGAGGTGTAACAACATTCAGCCCAGGGGGGCAATTGACCCCCCTAAAAAAACGGTTTTATAATAGGTTAATAAAGTTATTTGCCCCCCTTTTGCCCTAATCGCCCACATACGCCTAAAAGATCCGCACTACGCAGTCCTCTAATTTTTCTTCAATGTTGTTAGGCTTCGTTGCTTCGCAGGAGCAGGAAATGTAAAGATTGCGCGAGTCGCTTCTTCGGCTCCTTCTTTGTTGTTCGACTTTGCTCATTCGACGACATCCCCTTCATGTCGGATCAAACGTCACAACAGTTTGATCAGAAGCAACAACGGGAGCTTGCTCACTGTTAAGAGAGACTATCATCTGTTGAAGAAATGCAAGAGCCTCGAATAATGCCTCAAGAAGAAGACCCTCGTCCAAAGTCTACCAAGAAGAAACTTTCAATCCAGTCTGCTCCATCTCTTACTAAGAAGGTAGGGTTAATAAAGGAAAAGCTGGTTTTGCAGGTGATTACCGAGGTCTAAAGCACAAATATCTTGTATTAGAGGAAGAAAGCCTCTCATTGGATTGAGCGCTGAGAATGGTTGAAGCTGATCTCAAGGCTCTAGAAAATGATAAGCTTGGGCTTATGGACAAACTTGTTGACTTGGAAGGTCTCATCAAACCATCAGAGCTAAAATCCATGTAAACTTTTAAGTAAAATTGCTTTTAGCTCCATCTTAGTTTTTTTCCTTGTATATGATTGATGCTTTAGCTTGACTTGGTTTGGAAATATATTTATCTTTTATCTTTAGTAAAAAAAAAATTAATGACAGATCAAAACTTTCATTGTTTATGAAACATGTGAAGAAAAGTGCTTGTATTGCATATGTACCTATTTTATGACTTCAGGATCATAAAAAATGGCATTGTAGAGCAAAATGGTGGCCTAATTTTATGCATCATAACTTAGTAGTGCAACATTATCAAATACATTCAAGTTTAACATTCCATATATATTTTCACTAGGGAGGACTAGTAGAGATCTGTTATATATTCACCGAATTTTTGCAGCATATCAATATTAGACAATAGACATGTTAATGGATTGGGATTTGAATAGGGTTGATCATGACTTTGCCACCCCAACACCCCCCTCCCACCCCCCCCTAACAACTAAGGTTGGTTACACCCCTGCTTGAAAAGACAATCACACAATTTAGAAACTACTCTATTCAGTCTCTCGCTGGGTTAATTCATGATTGTTTATCTTGACTCTGTTGCTTCTTTCTCGTCTTGTTACCTGGGTGATTTTATTTTTAGAAGGACAATGATGAATGATGGTTCCTCCAGCTGCTTCTAGGATGGTCTTATTGGCAACCAGGGGTTTCGCTCTTGCGCTGTCTCTTTGGTGCTTTTTTGGTTTGGCCCGCAAATTTACAAGAGCTACATGAGTCCTTCACTTCCTCTTATTTCTTGAGCATTTGTATTTCCTTTTTGCCTTTTTTTTTTGGGAAAATTGGGGCCTTAGCCCATTTCATTCATGAAAAAAAAGAATACATAAGAAAAAATATATTGCTACCACAACTGACCAGTAGCAATCTAGAAGAACGAAACTGCATAAGCAAAAACTGCTGCAAAACAAAAGGAAAAACCTATTACATTTGATCACCCTATCAGCCTTAGCTGCAGAATTTTAAAAACAAAATTTGATCTCCAATACAAGTATAACAGATAACATGTATACCAAAATTTTATCCAGAATTAAGCCTGTAGAAGGAATTCTGCCATAATAGAGAGCTCCCAAGCCTATCAAAACTTGGACTCAGATTATACCTTTTTGCCTTACTATAGACTTTCTTTTGGTTCCTAGTATTCTCTTTTTGTTGTTGAGATCATGGACTTTTAATTTTTATTTACAATTTTCACATACATATAATTTTCTTTTTATTAATGGCTCTGCCCACAAAATTTTCCAAAAAAAGAAAACTTTGCTTCTAAAAATTTCGTTATCATGCAATTACGAGTGCTCAGCCGCTGCTGTTTGTTGGGGTTGGTGAGCAAACCATTAAATACCTGGCTGTACTTATCACCATGCGTTTTATACCAAAAAGCTAGAAATGGAAAGCCACCTCGCTCATTCCAGACAAAGAAATGCCACATGGAGAATTCCTTCACCTACCCGACCGATGATCTATTGTTGCTTCCGTGTCTTACTTGTTCATTCCATCTTCTTTTGACTTTTGGTTTTTGTCATATGTTTTATTCTGTTTTTGTTTTGATTTTGTACATCATTTTAACAAATAAATAATTATAGTTTGTGCGGCTGCCACGCGTCTCATATTTGAATCCCCTAATTATTCTTAAAATAATAATAATAATAATAAATAAATAATTGTCACGTCACATACAAATCAGATCATAAGTTTTTTTTTGGGACATTTAGGTCATTTAAGACAAATTCATACACACGACGCATACACATAGACTCGAACCTTGGACCTCTTAGTTGGAAGCCTAAGCTCTCAACCAATAGGCCAAAGAGAGTTGTGTATGATAAGTTTATTTATGCCGTTTATTTTGACCTGATGGTTAAAAGCTTACTTTATCACTTAAGATATTTTATATTTAAAGTTTGTGTATGTATTGTGTGTGCATTTGTATTTTTTTTTTTTTTT